AAGCGCTTTGGGGTCCTTAGGGACTAGAAAAGCGCTATACAAATGCAGGCCATTTACCATTTAACTGTATTTACAAAACACAGAGAATTTAGTTGTGTTGGTCTTCAAAATAAGCATCCTGCCGTTAGCGCCTGATAGGCTGGGCCAGACAAACCTACCTTGCATTTGTTTGAGGATCATGTTGATTCGATTCTCACATGAAGCGTAGAGTCCCACAGTTAAAGGTGATGAGACTTTTGTAAGTGTCTTGGACAGTGCATATGCATATATGTCATCTAAAAAATTAGAAAGAAATAGCATCATGGTTTTCGTATTTTACATCCTCATGGATTTTAAACGTCAAGTCTTATTCAGAGAGTCCCCACAATTCCTACCAAGTTATCCAAAGCTGCTAGACTGTTTGACATACTGCAGACCATCAGTGCACAGTCAAACTGAAACCGGGGAAACAAGTTCTCCAGTCGGAAGTGAATTTCAGAAAATGGGAAGGAAAAATTGAGCAGCAGTGGACAGGCTGCTATCAACCACTGTAATTTTTAATATGACAAATCTAGGAACAAACCAACCATTTCAAGTTAATTTGACTGGATGAAGGCATGCACATAAAGTAACTGTACCTTCCTCTAATAGAAAATATATTTAATTACTAACTTAGTAAAACACAAGAATGGATTGTTGGTCAAGAAAAGATGCCGAGATAAGCTACGGATAGGAAAAGGGACTACTTAGGAGTCTGTGGTCTCTAGGTGAAAACAATAATGATGACATTATTGGCCAGTAAAACTTTGAGCTCCCAATGCAATGTAATTAAATTAATAATAAACTATTTGCAATTACAATGGAGAGAATTACCTATAAAGCAAAGTGCAGAAACACTGAAACAGTTGTTCATATCAAACAGATTCAATGCCATGTATGCACATTAAACCAAACACAAATACAAAACAACACCATCGACAACAACAAAAATAAATGGAAAAAATAAATTAAATATCCCATTAAAAAAAAAAAGCCCAGAGGGCCTTTATATGAGCTGGGCGGAGGGAAAGAACTGAGGATGGAGGCACTTAGCCCGTGGTAAATCGCTGCATTAATAAAAATGCACGAACAGGATGTCTCATTTGTAAAGTGAAACTGAAAATGAACCCCTGCTGAGGGGGTGGAGCTTCAAATATGTTATTATTAAAGAATAAATCACCTTCTGTTGCGTTCTTCATGATGATTGTTTGGTGAGACCAGCTTTCACAGACTATTCGTTCAGCCTGTGAAGAAAAGAAACAGCAGAGATCTCAGTGCAGCGGGGTTTCTTTCTGCTGCCCCATGAACAATGTGGCCCTTATCCACTGTGGCATCTTTTTGGAGAGATGTATGGTCAGGTCCTTAAATATATTGGAAATCAGCTCATGTTTTGTCATTGTGCCTCAATACAAGTGAACAAGATGCGACGTAAAGTGTAAAAATTCAGCTTTAAGAAATTTGGGGGAAAAAAATCAGAAACAAAACAAACAGAAAAACAATTAACCAATCGTAAACTGCATGACAACGAAATGCCCCAAAATAGACCCCTGCCCATCCTTCACTAGTAAATGAGCACGGGCGTGTCCTTCTTCTTTTTTTAAGATGTTATTTTTGGGCCTTTAAGCCCTTATTGGATAGAGACAGTGTAGATAGACAGGAAAGTGGAGGGAGAGTGAAAGACATGCAGCAAAGGTCTGCAGGTTGGAGTCACACCCAGGCCTACTGCTTTGCGGCCATACAGCATATGGTCGCCTGCTCACCCACTGAGCCAAACCGGCGCCATGGGCACGTCCTTCTTTCAGGTTAAAAATTAGCCAGTGTTTACTTTACAAAGGCTGGAAACAGAGCCAAGAAAAAGTGCACTAGTCTAGTTCCCTCTCAGACCACTTGAATTACACCATGTGTTTGAGTCATCTCCAAACGCAGTAAAATGGCATTACCTACTGAGCTCATTAAAATGGCTGCAGTTTAAAAAAAATTCTGATGGCTGTCGGGATTCCCCTTCAGCCTCCTATTACATGGACGTACGGTATCAATTTAAAAATCCAAGGTGACATCATTCTCGATTTTGTTTGAAAGATTTTCAGAACACTTGATGTCTGATTTATACTATAGATGCACCTATGGTGTCAATTTAAAAATCCTACGTCGCCTCCTTCTCGAGTTATCATATGCACAAACTTGGGTGTCCATGCCGCCCTCCACCTGCCCGCCCGTCCAGTTCCATGGCAGGGTGACATCAATACCCCATCAGCTTTTTACAGCTGAGGGGTAAAAAAAGAGCAAATGTTATATTTTCTGGAATAAAAGCAGAAAGTGTGCACTTGAATCACATCGTCATTGCTTCACTTCAGATCCTCTTCAGATCTTCAAAAGTATTTATTTGCTATGACTGCATAGATTAGTTATAAATCATTATTAAGACATTGATAGAAAATCCTTGCATTGCTTTTCTCTTTGGTAATTTATGAGGAGGACTTGTTGAAGTTGAAACGGTCTCCGTCCTCAACGTCTTTCCCTCGAGGGTTCTTGTTGAAGAACATCTGCACCTCCATTCACTAAAAGTTTCTGAAAATTGACCCCACCCAACCATTAATATAAACTAATAAAAATAAACTCATAGTTCCCTTTGATACCACATAATCTTATATTTACTACATATAATCTTATAAGATGTACCTGCACTCCCTGGCCAGTTTGGTTCAACTGCTCTCAATGCAAATATCAGTCACACAATTCAATTTAATTCAATTAAAGGATCTGAGCTGCAATACAGCAATTCAGTGAATCTTTTCTTCTTTTCTAAGTGTTGGTTGAAAGGCATTTAAAGGATAATGACACTAATGTAACGGACTTACACGAGACCTCAGGCCATTCTCTTTTACGTCCACAGGAATGTCAGCAGCTTACCTGAGTCATTAATTATCATTGCTATTATGTTGTTGCTTTCCCTGCCAACAACATATTTTCAGCTTGTGCTCTTGTCTGCGCACGTCAAACAGAATTAGACCGACTGTGGAAAACAGAATGGCAGTACTGACTTTGTTTTGCGTTGAAGTAATGTTTAACTTTCATTGTACGACCAGAGTATGTAAACTGCAGCCCTAAAACTTCTAAAATTATGCCTGAAGCTTCCATAAAAGAATGAATGGTATATTATTCTTGGCTACAAGTGTGGTATTAATCAAACAAGCTTACCTGTTCTTTGTTTTAAGTGGTCTGGAGTAAAACAGAAGAAGACTATGAGCAACAGCTTCAGTGTGGTGAACTGTAAGTCACTAAGTCCTCTGTGCTGTAAAATTTTACAACACCAATAAGATTAGAAAAAAAGAACCTGGTAATGAGAGGCCGTCTCTGTAGGCTAGGCACTTTCCAGGAAATGAGGTCACAAGCAAGATGAAATTATTTCTGAGAAATTAAGGTGTGCATTTCTTCCATTCTTCTTTACTTTGCACCTAACTCATGCTCCCAATCTCCTATCTATTCACAGAATGTGAGTGAAGTGGGTAGTTCCTGAAAGCATTACAAGGTAGAAAATATCCCTATTTTTGCAATTGCTCCTGGCATTAACTGTCCAACTTTTTCGTCTCATGGAAAAAATGGAAAAAATGAGTGATTTTATGCTGGAGCCTTGGGTGTGCATGATTCATGAGCTGAATTCCTGGTATAGAGTCCCTCAGGTTGAGAATGACTGGATCGCTCTGCCCAGCCTGAACTGACATGCAAAGCAGTTGCGATGCCAAAACAGCAACACCAAAGCTTTTTGCCTGGAGTAGGATTTGTTGTGACATAACTGGTTAGTCAAGCTTTGAAAAACAAGCTAGAAGCTTAATTTCCCTTGGCATATTTCTTTATTTTTTATTTCTTAATTTTATTTTAATTTTTTGCATTGGCCTCTTCATACCATCTGGTGTCGCAGTATACCTTGTGCTACAAGTCCTTCAACAAACTACAGCAAAAGAACTGGGCAGTAAGTCGTGTCAAGGTGGCTGCTTTCAGAATTCATTTCTGATATTGCATTTAAAGCATATAAAAAGACAGAAGATTGGAATGAAAAGATTTATCTTTAAGTCTCTCTTTATCTTCAGTAACATACAAATGGCTATAGAAGTTTGCAAGTCTGTAGGCCTGTTATTCATTGGAGCGGAGAAGGAGATCAGAAAAGTCAATTTTACATTCTGTTGCTCATTATATGAAGATTAATGGGCACTTGGGCAATGGACAGACTTTAAAATATAATGTTAGGCCCGTATATATATATATATATATATATATGATAGTTTTATATATATATATATAAAATTAGTTTTAAAATAAATAAATAAATAAAATATAAAAAGGAAAACACACACACAAATTACCACCTGTGGAGTTATTTTGAAGGCGAGATCAAAACCTCTTTTTGTATCAGCAATAAACATGTGTATTTCTGCTATAAAGAGTCTGTGTGAACTGACTTACATTGGGAGCCAATCCCGAGTGGTTATTAGAAGAATTACATTTTTTTTGGCACTTAAGCTTTGGGCTTTATTTTTCATCTCCACAGGCTGCTGCCAGGGTTGGAAAAAGTCATCTTTGCAGAAGCTCTTTAAAGAGCGATACCCATTAGGATCTCAGCGGGCTCCAACACACTCTCATTCCAAAACTGTGAACTCCTCTCCCAGCCATCGTAGGGTGAGAGGTGGGGTATATACCCCCAGAAAGGTCAAGATCACAGATAGAAAGACAGCTACACACTCTCACAGCCTACATCTATGGGCAATTCAGAATCACTAATTAACCTAACATGCAGTTCTTTGGACTGTGAGAGGAAGGCTGTCTCCAAGAGTTTTTAAGTGGAGCAGGGCGGTGTGCACAGAGGAAATTCAGATTTTGAATCCGAAAGAAATACAGTAAAGTAAAGTGGCAACATAAATATTTAGACCCTTTCCTGAAGTAAAAGTCATAATCCTGGTTAAGTAGCCTAACTTCACCAAAGGTAACTACAGCAAAGTACTCCTTATGCCAAATGGTCTTTTTCTGAAAAATTATATTACTGGATCATAATCTTACTCATTCAGTGTGTACCACATTTTTTAGCATATACTTTCATACTTTAATTACTTATATACAGAATCATAAGTTAGTAGAAACTGATCTGCCTGTGTTTGGACACCTGTCAGTCAAAGTGGCCAATCCCCTGATCCCAAGTGTCTCTAGAGACCAAAACAATGCTGTAAATGCCTTTATTTAAAAGACAGGAAGTGGAGAAAGAGAA